GCGTGCGCGCGTGTGCGCGCGCGTTTGCGCGTGCGTGTGCGCGTGTGCGTGTGCGTGTGCGTGTGCGTGTGCGTGTGCGTGTGCCCTCCGCCCCCCGGCGCTCCCCGGCGGAACCTGCGCGAGCGGGAGCGGCCCGACGAGCCTTGCGCGCGAGCCTGCACGAGAGGGAGCGTCCCAGCGGCGGCCCGACGAGCATTCCGTGCGAGCTGGCACGAGCGGGAGGCGGCCGCGCCCGCGGCGTGCCGCCGAGGCGGCACGATCTCCCGCCGCGCCGGAGCGCTCGGGCGCCTGCTGCGGCAAGCCGGGGATCGACCTCCACAGTGCTGTTCGTTTTCGTCTTGTTTTTGCTTTCCCTCGTTTTGTCTTCGATCGAAGCGAAGCGACTCGTTTCCCTCGTTCCATGTGCTTTACCTTGTTTTTGTGTTCCCTCGCTTAGTCTTTCTTTTCCCTCGTTTGCCCTTGCTTCTGCTGCTGAGCGACATCGAAACGGCAACGGCCCACAAGGGCGCCAGACCACCGCTTATAGGTCGACCCCTGGCGGAGGCGGGCGGGCACGCCAGGAGGCGCATCAAGGGAGACCCTCCCGCCAGCAGCCTTCGCCTCCGGAGCCTCCGGCCTCCTCCGGGAGGGAGGCGCCTCCCGCCTCCTCCCTCGGAGCCCTGCCCCTGCAGGTCACGAGTTCATCAAGGGGCCCAAGGACACACAAATAAATACACACAAATAACAGGACTCCCATATTTTCTCATATTTTCTGGGTGTTCGTCGTCCCGCCCACTTCCCATATTTTCCCATATCTTCCTGGGGATCGACGATGCATTGTGTCTGTGTTTTTTCTCCTCCTGAGATCATGAAACACCAGCCGGGGTTCCGAGTCCGGGGGGCGCCTGCAGCCCACGTGAGCCCCAGCGGGGGTGCCTCGTGCCCCAGCACCGATATCGGATCCGCAAGGGTGGGGCTCGCAGCCGGCAGCAGCAGATGGGGGGGGCACCTCTCGATCGGCCGTCACGCGAGATCGGAGGCGCTCCTCGAGGGTGCTCACAGGCGCTCTCCGCGCGAGGGCCGGCGCGAAGAGCCCAGGCAGAGGCCCAGCGGGCGGGACCACACGGGCGCCACGCAGAGCTTCTCCTCACACCTCCTCCTCCCAACCCCGTCGCTTCGCACCCCCCTCGTCTTGTCCGCAGCGGCGGCTGCTCGGGTTCGACTTGTGCCGAGGCGGCCTCTCACTGGCTTGGCGCGCTCATCCTCTGTGGAAGTGCAGCGCCGGCTGGGGAAAATCCGCAGCGCAGGCAACACGAGCGGCGGTTAAGTGCCGCGCGCCCCCCTGACCCATCGACTTAGGTCGGGCATGTCCCCCTACAGGCGGATTTTGGAAGAAAAATGAAGAATTATCAAAAAACATCAAAACAAAATACTCAACATATGTTTTTAAAACATGAAAGAGTAAATATAACATCAACAACAACAAAGCAACAAGTCACATACTTGTCAAAAAAACATCAAAACAAATTCGCCGGCCCAACGGGCCAGGGCGTGCTAAGATCTCCGGTGCCTGGTTAACAGTATTTCTAGTTCGCGCGCGCGGGGCGGCCCCTGGGGGTCCCCGGACGAAAAGTACCCCGGCAAGGTCCCGGCAAGGTCGGGTCAGAGATGCCGGAGTTCTGTTACAGGGCCCCGGGACGGGCCAAGAGGTCCCCAAGAAGCCTCCAAGACGGTCCAAGAGGGCCCCGAGACGGCCAAAGATCGCCCGAAGACGCCCAACAGGGCCCCAAGACAGCCCAAGAGGCCTCCAAGACGCCCCAAGGGCCTTCCAAGAGGCCTCCGAAGAGGGCCCCAAGAGGCCAAAATCGTTGATTTTCATTGTTTTTTCTATGTTTTTTGCGTTCTGGCTTTTTCGGCTTCCGGACGCTCCAAGACGGCCCAAGAGGCCCCCAAGACCGCTCCAAGACGGCCCACGAGGCTCCCAAGACGGCCCCGGAACGGCCCAGGAGGGCCCCCAAGACGGCCCAAGTGCCGCCCAAGACGGACCAAGAGGCCCCAAGACGGGCCCAAGAGGGGCTCAAGAGGGGAACCGAGAACTCAAAAATCGAGCCCTCCGCCCCAGAAGGCGCCCAGGAGGCCCCAAAAAGGCCCCAAGAGGCCCCCAGGAGGCCCCCAAGACGCCCCAAGAGGCGCCCAAGAGGCCCAAAAGAGGCCCAAAAGAGGGCTCAAGAGGCCCCAAAACAGCCCCCAAGAGGCCCCAAAACTCGGCTAGCCCACAACGGTGCCACAATATGGGCCGGCGGAATGAGCGAAGCGATTAAATAATATCAAAAACATCAAAAATCGTTCCTCCAATATTTTTGGACATGTTTGAAAATTCCTCCTGTAGAGGGACACGCCCGACGTAACAATCGATTGGCCCACTGCGGCCCAACACTGAGGGACCAGCACCACCCTTCTGGTCAGGCTTCCACTGAACTCCGGCCACGGAAAGCGGTCCCAGCGCTCCCTGGAAGTCAGGAAAAACGATGAAGTGATAAAGGTAAAGTGTCTGCTCACGACAGCTTCGCGCAGCGCTGACGCGCCAGCGCGGGCGATCAGGGTTGAAGGCCACTGGCGGCCTGAACCAGGCCAATCTCGACCGATCTCCGCGATCTTATAGTGAACATCGATCTCTTGAATAATCTGCGCAATGTCAGAAACCCACTTACACGACGACACGACACGGAATCAGCCGCAATTCACCCTTATCCGCCCCCCCCGCCGCTCCCCCCGCTCCCCCCCCCGCGTTTCCGACCTTCTGCTCCAGCTCGGCCTGCGTCGTGGAGGACTCGTGGACTCTCTCCTGGGCAGCCATGATCTCGCACTTCCCCGTTTCCACCCGCTGGCACGACAGCAGGGTAGGGCAGCGCGAGGGGAGAGAGAGAGCCGAGAGCCTGGACCCGAAAGAGAGAGCGTGAGAGAGGTAGCGGGAGCAGCGGCGGAGCGGGGCAAGGGGGACGGAGAAGGGCAGGCGAGGCAGCGGGGGAGGGGAGACGGGGCATGGCGCAGGAGCGAGACGAGCAGGGGTGAAAAGAGAGACGGAGGGGAATGAGAAGGCAGCATAGGAACTGCAGGAGGAGATGGGGCAGATGGGGAGGGAACGGGGGCAGCAGGAGTGGGCTGGTCAGGGCAAGGGTGGCCTGGCACCGTCTCCGCATGCTGGTCACGGTGCTGTTCCTCCTCTGCCTCCCCATGCTCGCTTGATCCCTCCCCACTGCTCCCGTCACATCATCGTCCTCCAGTCTCTCACCTCTTCCCATTGAACTCCAGAATACACCAGACGTCCAAAAATTCTACGCTTCACACCACTTTCATCCAGATCGACCGCCAGTCCCAGACCCTCTCCTAGGGCCGGTCCCGCTGGACCGTCATCGCGCGCTCGCCGCCGCTCGCAATTTTCCTCCACAGCGTCATGGCCTCCTGCTTGCCAGCTGCTGTGCACACCAAACAAGTTCACGTTGTGTGGCGTGCCAGCGCCTCCTCGTACGTCCGGTGCAGGCGCACGCTCTGTGTGTCTGTCTGTCGTTCTTCTCCCAATGCCGTCGGCATGGGTCGAAGCGCGACGTCGAGGACCAGCTGCACATAGCCACACCTCTCCCCCGCGCAAAAACAGACCCTCCAAAAACGGGTTTGGCCACCCACCGCGGGTCACCGATCCCTCCGAGGAGAATCTGACCGCGTGACCAAGAGGCGAGGGAACCGAGGAGGCGGCCGAGAGCAAGCTCGATCCCCCACGCGGCTCGGCCTGCAAGCACAAATGGCCGCCCGCCGGAGCGGGGGCCCAGCGATTCTGCCGTGAGCCAGTCGGCGCGCCTTGCCTCGGCTGCCCCAGCGCCCAAGGCGAGGCGAGTGGAACCGGAGCGCCGTGGGGGCTGACGATGGCGCCCCGTGCCCATCCCCGACGGAGAGGAGGGACAGGAGGAGGGAGAGGAGGAGGACCAGCGCATTTGAGCCCAAGGCGCATCCACGATCTTGCAGTGAACCCTACCTCCAAATCCCCTCTTCATGTGTACGTGCACGGATGGGATGTTCGCTGGGGGAAGCTCAGCCTATTCGAAGGAAACCGTCCGAGAATCCTTGACCTTGCCAGATCCCCTATCCTGGGACTGCAACGCCGCCGATCGATGCGACGGATGCGTCCAGACAGTCCATGATCGTACCAGAACACGGCTCCTAGGACTTGCAACACCGCGAATCAACGTGACCCTTGCGACCTGACAATCCTAGATCACCGCACGACATCCTGAAGGAAGCTGCCGCCAACGTTTGTAACGAATCCGCGCGGCACTTTAAGGCGAGCGGCGATAAGGCGAGGACCGCATGTTGAGAAGGAGCTGCCACCCATCAATAAAACTGCTGCATATGTTTGAGACGAATGCGCGCCGCGCGAAAACGAGACCCACCTGTCGAAAACGACCCACCATCCACCCGTGACACTATTGCATACTCAAGTTTCAGGGTCCTATATGATGGGGAGGTCTCACGCGAAACGCCCGACCCGCCCCACCGACACGACTGGGGGTTCGACTGGGAGGAACTGGTCTTGTAATTTGTTGAGGGCTCGGACAGGACAAGGCAGGGAGGAGCTATTCTTAAGGAAAATGAATGTAGGAGCAGTCGATAAGCCTCGAGGAAAACAAATAATAGGACTGCGCACCTTGAGGAACAAACAGCAGGAGGAGGGCTCAATGTTTCCCCTGGTCCCTTCGTCCTCCTACCCTCGTATCAATGTAACTTGGACGCCCGCCGTATCCTGCATCTCGCCGTGCCTGGCGTCCAAGTCGCGCTCGATCTGCGTCCGTTTCAGCAACGCCGCCTGTAAGTTCTGGAAGGCCTCGACGAGGGAGGAATGCGATGACGGAGCGGGGGGAACGGAAAGACGAGAGGTAGGAAAGGCGGAGACGGGAGGAAGGGAGGGGAGGACGAGTAGGAAACCAGCGCGGGGGAACGGACGAGAAGCATGAGCAGGAGAGAGGATTGTTTCAAAACTCCCAAGAGTTCTACGCATGAAGCTCTCAGGCTGGTGGGGGGTTTGGGTGTTTGTTTTATTCATTCTTGAAAAAGGGGAAGGGTATGGGGGAAGAGGAGGACGAGGACGAGGGGGCCGAGGAGGAGAAGGACCAAGGAGGATGAGGACGGAGGAGGAGGAGGAGGAGGAGGAGGAGGAGGAGGAGGAGTACGAAAACGGATGAGGAGGAGGAGGAGGAGGCGGAAGAGGAGGAGAGAATGGGAGGAAGGAGGAGGGGCGAACGAAGCAAAGCAAGCACGTTCTCTTTCTTCTTGCGGGGGGCAGGGCGCGCCCGCTGCCTGCGCGCCAGGTGACTCAAGGGCACTTGCGAACCACAACGGCGGCACACAAAGGAGGTGGGACGGAGGAAAAAGAGTTGGAAAATGAATTTGGGGGTCGGGCGCAGCGTCCCGGCAATGGTATCTTTCTGGGCCAATCATGGGCGATGCATCCTCGATTGCTGTGGTCGGCGGGGGAACCGATTCAAACTCCTCGCCTGCACCCGTGCGCGAGATTCCAAAGTAAACGAAGCAAGGAGGCGGCGCGCCGGGGAAAAGCGGCGAAGGCAACAGGCGCTGAGGGCGCAAGAAGAAAAGGTTGGAATTGAAATAAACGATAGCAGCGAGATGAGTGTCGAAAGCTGACCAGCCAATCTGGCATGCGGAACACTGTGCCTCAGTTTTGGGAATCTCCACGGCCAGGGCAACATGTGAATTCACAGTGCGGGGAAAGCAGCATGTGGATTCACATTTGGGGAAGAAGGACAATGTGAATCCACATCTTGGGAAAAAGGAAAAGGTGGATCCACATTGTAGAATTTGGTTTACGAGTATGTATAAAAGGGGTCAGAATGTGAATTCGCATGTTGGGAAAAGGAACATGTAAATTCACATGTCGGAAAAGGGGAAGATGTAATTCACATGTTGGGAGAACCGTGGGACCCATTCCAAATATGTGTTGGGGGTCGGCAAATCATCGGTTGGCAACATACGCGATCACCAACCACACAATCAAGACACACTTGCAATCCACTTCGCCGCCGCACGCACGACATGCAAGAACGCCCGCACGCAAGAAAGATAATGGATGGACGGCGCGTTTGCCCGCGCGGACAACGCGCGGGCACGAACGGCTGGCCTTCCATGACCGCCAACATTGGATGTCAATCGCGCTCGATCGCACACATGAGCGATACATTGAGCATATATAGCCCTGTCAGACGCATTGAAGACCGCCTGTTGCAGACCCCTTCTGTCGCCCTCCAAAGGAGGATTGGAGGCCGACATGCGAGTGACAACCGCATGTTCTACATGTGCAGCCGAAAAGCCGACTCGTCCTCAGTCCACGAACTTGCTCTTACTGTTCTTGGGAACCGTAGCCGTTTGGACGCCGTAGACTTCGCCTGCAAGTCAAAAGCGCCTGCGAAATGCAGCCGGCATAACCACGCGAACACGTAAGTATTGAGAGCGCCCCTAAGAGAGGTCCACCCAGGGATTGCCAGATCCTGATTCGCCCGCAGCTTTCCCCATGTCGCCCATGAAACTCTTCGGATCGGAGCCGCAGGGGTCATGCAGATACCCAGTTCGCTCCAAGTGGCGGGATGCTGCGCTGAGCTCTTTAGTCAATTGAGGAACCCATCTCTCGCCCTTTGGGATCTCCTTACCATCTTCGACTACGCGTAGGAGTGGCCCTTGGCGCGCGGCTTCGGGGGCGCCCGTAGGGGCCCAACGCAGTCGCGCAAGCCGGCGCTGCCGCGCCGCATCGACGATCGGCGGGGTGCCACTCGAAAAATCTGTTTTGCGCCAGCGGGCAAACGCGGAATTCCGCCGATTGAATTCGAGCGCCCCGAATGGCACTTCAAAGGGCCTGCGAAAGCAGACGCTGCTGAGGGCCACCACGATGAGGTCTGGCACAATTGGGCTGCATCGCGCTGACGTCAGACCAGGCCCGGCGCCATGGCCAAAACTGGCCCCGCCCGAGGACCCGCATCAGAGTAAAGATCCCCATTGGTTCGAAAACACATATTCAAACATATTCAAATATATTCAAAGATATCCAAAGATATTCAAAGATATTCGAGCTGGACGTTTTCGGATTTGGGCTGGGATTCGGGACTGGTCCTAAGCAGGAAAACGCACCGCCTGGTCGACGGGCCCCCCCTCGGGTAACCAATGCAAGCTGTAGGATTCGACGCGTATGCGTTGCTGTCGATTGCGCGGGGTGGGCCCAAAATTGGCGCGCTCAGATGCGAGCATAATAACGCGACGCGGGTGCCGACGCGAGGTCGAGCTCATTCCAAGAGAGAAATCTCCCGACGCCCTTTGGGCCAGCACCAAGGGGCACTCCGGCAAAAGGTCACTCTTACGTCGGAGTCCTCGGCCGGCGCGCCCGAATAAGCGTGGGCGCTCGGTGCGTCCAGACAGTGCGATTACATTGCTTCTGCCGTCCCAAAACAGGCAGCCCCCGCTGGATCTTGTTGTAGATATTCCTCTTTCTAATAGTGTGGACCCAGAGCTGGGTGACATAGGTGCTGCCTTCGACCTGACACCGCTGCTTATAAACACGCATATTGGGATATCCTGCGCGGCGTCTGCGATCCACCTGCATCTCGAAAATAAGCGAGTAGAGATTCATCTCGGGACCCACGTCAGACGACACGTGCACCATATAGTGGGTCAACTGGTACGGCGGGCTGTTCCCTCGCAGTGAACGCCGAAGATGGTGTCCGCGCTCGAGGGTCTCCGCCTCTGCATCAGCTTGTACAGACCTTCCCTGCTCCAGATAAAAGCAGGAGCTGCAAGGTCGGCACCGAGGCGCGCGGTCTGGAGGGCGGCGCCCCGGTGGCTGAGGGCTGCATATTGCGACTTCTCCTTGGCGCGCATCACGGACATGTCGATGAGGCATTACTTCCCCGCTGGGTATGAGATCGGGCCCTGGTCGCAGGGGCCGCCGGTGATACCCGAGAGATAAGCTCGGGAAAGCTGGATCCTTTTTGACAGCTGAATGCCCCAGCTTGAGCTTCCAGGACCAACGCGCCCAAAACAATCCTAGTGACAGAGGGTGTTAGTCAGGTTCTCCCTCGCCGCGTCGACCCTGGCACATGCCCTCTAATGGGAGCTCGACATGTTCGCGAAGGCTTGTTTTCACCTTTTAACCAGCTTGTAGCTCCGCCCCCAGCGGGCCCAAAAAGTACCTGACCCCTCCACTGGAGATTCTTCCAGAGGATTAGAGAAGCACTGTTCGAGTGTCGCCGCGGCGTTCGCGGCCTCCTGCAGGGCTTCCCCAGCCGGCGGCGCGTTGTCTTCAAAATCCCATCGGGAACTGACGCGGCGTTTGCCAAGTCGCAACAGCTGGCAAAAACGCGGTTCAACTCCTCGCTCTGGTCCCGCTTGCCGCGGTCCGCGATCTGATCCGCGAGATCCCGGAGCGCGGCCTCGCCGTCTTTCACTAGCTCCCCAGAGCTGTCGTTCATTAGCTTCTTCTCCTCTTTGGGTACACGCCAGAGGCTCCTGCCAATCCTCGGCAGGTCCACGTAGTTCATGCTGTCGACGAGAGCCAGCACCGCGGGATACCAGCCTGGTAGGTTCCTGAAGTTCCCCCAAGCGAACTGACGCAGGGTGAACACTCGCGGGACCGTCGAGCTCGGCCTTCGCGCACGCGGCGAAGTAACTAACCGTAGAGAGGTTCATGAAGGTGGCCCTCGGCGATGCCCGTCAGGGAGTTCGCAGCGACCTCGGCGTCGACCGTTTTGCACGATGCGACCAGATGAACAGCCCCCTTGGCGTGAATGGAGGTCAGCAGCTTCACCCAGACATGAAAGGCAGGGGCATCCCTGGCACTGATGCTGAACTGCAAGCCTAAGCCACCTGCTCGTTGATGGCCGCGGTAGGGCCCTGAGATGGACCACCAATCGTCTGTCAAGCTCGGCTCCTCAACGTCGGAAAGCCCGCCTCCGATTTTCTCGTCCACATCGGGCGGCTCCGCCTGCGTCGTCTGGCCCACGCTCTCGCCCCTGATTCTCCATCGTCTCGCCCCCCGCCGTCTCCCGCTTCATCTGCGGGGTCTTCTCCTTCTCCACGTCCGCGATGCATGACAGCGGCAGTAATGCTTGTCGACGCAGAAGGTCGTCACAGTAAGCCCAGACCTGGTAGTCGTCTCCTGCGGGAGTTCCCGGGGCACCCCGACGCCCCTGGTACCCCGCCTCGCCGCGATGGCACCAGCGCGGCCATGCAATCCAAGGGTATTCCAGGAGGGGGGGCCCGCCATTTTTGCGCGGCGGGTTCGAGATCTTGTCAGCGGGGATCTCCGCCAAGTCGTCGGGGCAAACGTCCAGTCCATACTGGCTGCGTTCCTGGCGACGTAGTCGAGCCCCCGGTTCCGCTCGCGGGCAACGCCCATATCTCCCGGGCCGGCCCCCCCACCTGGCGCACCGACCGCGCGCGGGGATGAAGGTGATGAGTATTTGGGCCGGTTCGGGCGACACCCGTTCCATGGGGACGGAGTCAGGGAGCTCGAGGAGGTCCACGTGATCGTCGAGGGTATTGTTGTATTCGTCCACCTTCCGTGCCCTCTTCTCGGTCTCGCCGCGGCGCTTGATGATCACCCGACTCAAGGGCTGCGTCTCCTCCTCCACCTGCCGCTCGGTGTCAGGTGAGACGCACCTGGGGTCGACGTCCTCCATGGGCTCCAAGTCCACGGCGTTGCTCTCGTCATCCGCGCGGCGGTGGGCGCGCGTTGCTCATCGCGCAGCTCCTCGTCGACCTCCGCGGCCCCCGGAGCGCCCGAACCCGCGGGGGCCGGGAAGCTCCCGCCTGGACGAGCCCCAC